AAATCAAACACAAGTTAAACCAAAAAGAAATCCAGATTAATTTTTTGCTATAATTGTACAACAGAAGTTTATTATTGTGCTACTAAAAAATTATAGAATGTTTATAAGCACTGAGAACTCTTTCACATATTAAATACAAAGAACATTTATTCATTAAACTTTCACAAAATGAGATTCACACCCCTTCTTAGGAATACAAGCATCACTGCATAAACAAGGCCACCTCGTCTTTGCTCGTCACTACCAACAAAGGCCCATCTATTCTTTTGTGTTTTAACCAGAACATTCGAGGCCCAGCAGGCACTGCTTCAGTTCCTGACATGGTTTCTCAATGAACAGCGTCAGGGCTAGCCCAGTAACGAAGGTCAGCACACAGTGTCCCGAGAAAAGATAGAACTGGAGAGAAAGTGGGAAGGGTGAACACAGTTTTACTCTGGGAGTCCTATTGTGTTCAGATCCAAAATGTACCATCCTAGCTCTACAAAATGTATCTGTAGGACAATCAGTGCTACATATTAAAAATAAAATTAAATTAAAAATGTTATCCTGTGCTGAAGCCCTCTCTCTTCCTCCCACAAATAAAGCAAAGAACAATGGGGCTCTTTTTTTTTTTTTTCTGAAATGGAGTCTTGCTCTGTTGCCCAGGCAGGAGTGGAATGGCACGATCTCGGCTCACTGTAACCTCCACCTCCCAGGTCCAAGCAATTCTCCCGCCTCAGCCTCCCGAGTAGCTGGGATTACAGGTGCATGCCACCATGCCCAGCTAATTTTTATATTTTTAGTAGACACGGTTTCACCATGTTGGCCAGGCTGGTCTCGAACTCTTGACCACCTGTTCTGTCCGCCTCGGCCTCCCAAAGTGCTGGGATTACAGGCATGAGCCACTGCACCCAGCCCAATAAGGCTCTAAAAAAAAAAAAAAGACTTTCATAAAAGCAAATCGGTTACCTCGTTGCTCAAGAAGAGAACAAACTGGGGTACCGTAACATACCATAACAGAGCTGGGAGCTGTGTGCTAACTCACCATGTTGGTATCAGTGTAGTGAATAAGTGTTTCCTGAAGGCCATTATAAAGGATGATCAGAATCGGATGCACCAAGTAGCAAGCGTAACTGATGCTGGCCAGGAAGCTCCAGATGTCCCAAGAAAGCACCCGGTTCACCAGACCTGGAGGGAACAAGCACTGATGTGTGAAGCCACAGCCTGTCTCTGGGCCGGTGAAGACGCCCTGTCATCCCGTCAATGCTCCTGTCAGATTCTGTGCCTAAGTCTATGAACTTTTCCTAAGAAAGTCTTCACACACTATAATTTTAAGAAAAGGTACCAAACCAAAAACCACCTTTCTGTTGCAAGAATTAAGATAACATAAGAGAGATGTATGGTTTCAGCCCTTGAGCATAAAACATGCCATGTATAAAACAAGGTAGAAAGTCCTCATACTCACCTGGGTTCTGGATGAAGATAGACCAAGATGCAGAGGAGGCGATGGGCCTGGGGATAAGGCATGTAACATGCCAGGCCTCAAACTCTTCATCTGCCAGTGAGAGGCTTGCATTTGACCACCCTTTAGGTGCCTTTCAGGACAAATTTTCTGTAATTTGGTATTTATTCTAGAACCGTATCGTCCCAGACAGTAGTCCCTAGCCACCTGTGGCTATTTAACTGAATTAAAATTAAATACAATGAAAACTTTCTTTTGGAATAGGACTTACTGCTATCTCTAGTGAGTTGTGTGGTGATTCTTCAAAAGATTATGTCCACCCAGAACCTCAGAATGTAACCTTATGTGGAATAAGGTTCTTTGCAGGTATTATTAAGAGGAGGAACTAGAAATGAGACCATCCTGGATTAGGGTAGACCCTGAAGCCAGTGACAAATATCCTTCTAAGAGACAGAAAAGGAGACAGAAACACAGAGGAGAGACACAAGGACGAGAATCATGTGCTGACAAAGACAGGGACCAGAGTGAAGAGTCGGCGAGCCAAGGAGTGCCACGGCTTGCCAGCAGCTCCCAGAGGCTGGGAGAGGCGATGGGACAGATTCTCCCTCAGAAAATCCAGAGGGACCAACCCGCTGACACTGATTTTGACCATCTCGCCTCCAGAACTGCAAGAGAATACATTTCTGTTGTTTTAAGCCACAGAAATAAAATAGAACTTCCGTTTCTCCTTTGCACAAGCCTCACGTAAAGTGCTCCATGGTACATCGGAGTTTGCTCAGGATAAATCTCTGGAGCCATCCCAGACTCCTTTCATCCTGGACTCCATAGAGTGCTTCCAAAAATGTATCTCAAATCAGACCACTGTTCCTCACCTCCATGGCTAACACCCTCATGAATCTCCCATCACTTCCTGCGTGGGCCTCCGTGGCAGCTCCCCAATGGATCTGTTGGTCTCTGCTCCTGTTCTTGCCACCCTATAGTCCCCATACCACATCCAGAGTAATCTTTTAAAATCACATCAGGGAGAAGTGGGGAAGGGGATATTGATCAAAGGGTACAAAGTTTCAGTTAAACTGACAGAGTAAGTTTTAGTGATCTGTTGCACTCCGTAGTGACCATATAACAACATACTGGATTTTTTTAAATGGCTAAAAGTATAGATTCTTAACATTCTCACCACAAAAAAAGAGATGACTTGGTGAAGTGGTGCATATGTTAATTAACATTCCATCTTTCTATCTACTATGTCAGAATATCACATTGTACCCCACAAATACATATAGGTTTTGGTTTGGTTTGGTTTGGTTTTTTTTTTGAGACAGAGTTTCACTCTGTCACCCAGGCTACAGTGCAATGGCAGTCTCCACTCACTGCAACCTCTGCCTCCCGGGTTCAAGTGATTCTCCTGCCTCAGCCTCCTGGAATTACAGGTGCGTGCCACCACACCAGGCTTATTTTTGTATTTTTAGTAGAGACGGGTTTCACTGTGACGACCAGGCTGATCTTGAACTCCTGACCTCGTGATCCACCCACCTTGGCTTCCCAAAGTGCTGGGATTATAGGCATGAGCCACCTCAACCGGCCCGTACATATAGTTTCAATTTGTCAATTTGAAAATAAATTTTACAAATTCACAAATCATGGGCTGTGATCTGAATAGTTACATTCCCCCAGAATTCATATGTTGAGATCCAAATTTCCAAGGTGATAGTATTAAGAGGTGGAGTCTTTGAAGAGGCAATTAGTTAATGAGGGCTGGGCCTTCAGAAACAGGATTAGTGCCCTTATAAAAGCAACCCCAGAGAGATAGCTCTACCCTTCTACCATGTGAGGACACATCTAGAAAGTTCCACCTAGGAGCCAGAAAGCAGGCCTTCACCAAACATTAAATCTGCTGATGCCTTGATCTTAGACCTCCCAGCCTTCAGAACTGTGAGAGAGAAATTTCTGTTGTTTTTAAGCCACCTCACTTACGAGGTTTTTGTTATAGCAGCTAAAATGGACTAAGACTTCATGTGACGTGGCATTTAAAATAAAATCCAAGCCCTTCCCATGACCTTGAAAGCTCTGCCTAACCTGGGTCCTACCTTCCCTTCTGAATTCCCTTCTCACCCCACCCTCCGACCTTTGGTTCCTGTCTCACTGATCATTTCACTCTTCCTCCAAGCCACAGAGCTCATTCCAGTCTAGAGAACTCTGCCTTCGCATTCCGTCTGCAGAATTATTTTGTACCACATCTTTGCAAATGTACCCCTATTCCAGTTACCCACTAATCTCTGCTTTATTTTTACTCACTGTATGTAAACTTCCCTCAACCCCACAGTAATCTCTCACAGGGAGGGATTTTTCTTTTCTATTGCTGTAGCCCCAGATTCTAGAACAGTACCTGGCATAGAATAAGCATTCAATAAGTATTTTATGTAATTGAGTGAATAAACACAGATGGACTTATAGACAAAAGACGCTTTTTCCCCAAGTGAAGTGTATAAAGGGTGAGCCACAGTTTCACCGTAGAGCAAAATAATTGCAGAGAAATGAAATCAGCAAAGAGCCCCGGCTCATGCAGATAAGCCAAACGAAAGAACATGCCCTCAAGCAAACAACACCGTGTTCACATCATGAGCCACAACCGAATCCAGCAACCATTCATCATTTCATGTTCACGTTGCTAATGCAGATTTTACTGGTTTTATAGTTTTATGATTACTTCATAAATCTGCTGTGGCTTTCTGAAAGCATGTGCTATAAACATAAAATTTCGTATCTTGGTTTATGTTTGTTTATGTTTAGACAAAATTAGAACAAAAGTAAGAGCATATAGTCAGGGTAACTTGTTTTATGTCCCTAAGGAAAAAAAATGTATTGAAAAAATATAAATAATTTCGGTGAACACCAAGCATCCAGAATTCTTATTTCTTTAGAATAGGCCCACATTATACTTAAGTTTGAGGGCAAAAACTGTAGGTGACAGAGCACCACAGAAGGGTTTTAACGGAAGGAGTAATGTGCTCAGATGGCTCTGGCAGCTCAACAGCGGACAACTTGGAGCATAACATGGCCAGCGTGGTCTACATTGCTATCAAGCAAAGATGGTTAAAGATTCATGGAATCATCAAGATCCCTTCTAGTTCTGAGAGTCTCAACTAAACATTTCTTCTTCAGACATTCTTTTTTTTTCTCAAAGTCATTAGCTAGACACTTTTTTTTTTTTTTTTTGAGACAGGGTCTCACTCTGTTGCCCAGGCTGGAGTGTAGTGCAGTGGTGCGATCTCAATTCACTGCAACCTCTGCCTCCCGGGTTCAAGCAGTTCTCCTGCCTCAGCCTCCCAAGGAGCTGAGATTATAGTTGTGCCACCATGCCTGGCTAATTTTTGTATTTTTAGTAGAGACAGGGTTTTGCCTTATTGCCAAGGCTGGTCTTGAACTCCTGGGCTCAAACGATCCACCTTCCTCGGCCTCTGAAAGTACTGGGAGTACAGGTGTGAGCCAGGTAGACACATATTTTCCAAAAATGTCTTTAAGCTATCACCCCAGACATTCACCTAACATGGCCAGCGTGCTCTACATTGCTATCAAGCAAAGATGGTTAAGGATTCAAGTCATCAATCTTGATATCTTATCAATAGTTTTGGAGACACAAACCTAGGATATCAGGTGCCCCTGCAGTTGTGGATTGGCCAATGACAACACACCTTTGAGTGATAAATTGCTCAAGAATAAGCAAAGTGGCTTGCTCATCACCTGGGTGACGAGATAGCACCCTCACCCAGACTGGTGATGGAGGGCACGTACTCATTCTATTGTAATGATAATGCTGCAAACTCGTTTAATCTTCTGACTTAACCGGAGTCATTCCTCTCTCATATCATTTATGTTCGCTAGTTGTTCTTGATAAACAGCAGCACCCCTCACATTAGAGAAGAAGACTGTGATGTTTGCGGCATTGTAAATGGCCTGTGCCAGGCCCCGGGGAATAGTTGTTTATGAGGCTCTGTGACAGCTCAGGGACACTGTCATGGGGTGAGGCTGCAGGCAGGGCTGTGGTCACGTAACCCAGAGTTTCCCATAAAATGCAAATACATCAGTCAGAGAGAATGCAGTCCCTTTCCTCTTTAATATCTCTTTTCCATATAAGGGAAAGTTTTAACATTAAAATATGAAAGATCACTAAGACTCATTTCTAAAATTAAAATATTAAAGATCATCATTATATTAAAGTCCCTGTACAATTTCGGAACAGTTTTCATTAATTATCTGGGGGACGTGCTATCACGTAGGAATGAATTGCTCTGGCTTTGGACTTCATGCTAGGACCTGATTCACTTTCTAGTTCAACCTCCCACCAGCTGTGGGACCTCCGCTGTGTAGCTTTCTCTCCAGTCGTGGTTGTTCTCATGCTAATTATAGGTCTTCCTCCCAGGGGTGTGGTCAGTGCTACTGGGGATCCTGTGGGTGATTTTCCCACAAGGCCTGGCATCCAGCATGTGCTCAATCCAGAGGAATTGTTCATCACCCCAGTTTTTCTCTTTAAGTCATTATTTCCCACCAACTTAGCTGAAGCTGAGTGGCATGGGTTCACAGGCTTGGCTTAAACTCCTCCTGGTGGGTTATTTCCCTAGTGTATGAAGCGGCCATCCCTCCCCCTGGATCTGCTGCTCCTATGTCAGGACTTTGGGTAGCTTGAGGCCAGAACCTCTTCTGGGAGCTTCCTGCCAGCCTTGTTCTCTTATTTGCTGACATCCCAAGCACACAAGTCCTACCTCTCGCCAAATAGAGAACACAGGGAGGAAGGCATCAGGAGGCTTGAATAGACCTTTCTAACCCGGAGAAGATTCTTTTCCATTGAAGCCTTTTGTCTGCGTGGCTCTCTGCATGTTGAAAGCCAGCTCAGTTACCCAAGGGGATAATGGCAACCATTTAGTCTATACCTTCAGATGGGGAAACCAAGGCTCAAGGCACTGTTCCTAGAAGTCTAGCTCCCAAGCACGGATTTTTTTTCTCCTGACATTGCTCTGCCTTCACTGGAGAGGCTGCATCTTTTTCTTTCAGAACCTGTACCTGTGTATAAATCCATGTAAAAATCGTATACACAAATCCTTTGTATTTTCCAAGGTTAGAGAGAAATCGATATTTTTGAATCAATATCAGTCATTCATCAACCATTCTAGAAACCAAAAGTCCCTCTGGTACACTCCTTATGTGTTAAATTTGTCACCTTTAACAGAACAGGGTGTGAACCCAACAGCAAAGCTGGAGCTGCTCCATACCTCCGTATCCTCCCTGGCACGCAAAAAGGACCCAACCCACGGCCGCCGCCCACAGGGTCCGGTGGAGGGCTTGGTAGAGAGCTGCGGCCACTGAAGGAGAAGCAGAGGCGTCGTCCACCACATATGCCAGGGCAGCCACTGCAAACAGGGTGGTGAGGGAGCAGCTCCACCCCAGCAGGACCTGCATCTGCGGGGAGAGGAGAAGCGGGGCCCAGCCCCTTTTAGCCATTGTATAATTCCCGCCTCTTACACAAACTTCCTTTTTTGGTGTTATCACTGTCACTTAGGTCTTTATTTGTAAAGCTCGGTCACTGCTTAGATCTGACTAAAATAGAAGGTTGTAATTTAAAAGGGGTGCCCAGGAGATCTTTGTGGTGACAGAGAGTTCTGTACCTTGACCGTGGAGATGGTTACACACTTTGCACATGGAACACACTGACCCAGAACTGTGGACAGACATGCGTGAATGAGTATGTGTAGAGTTGGTGGATCTGAGGTCTGTTGTGCCAATTTCCATTTTCTGGTTGTGGTCAGGTCCCATAGTTATGTCCCATGTTGCCTGCTGGGGAGCTGGAGTACACAGCACCTCTCTGTACTAGTTTTGCAACTTTTGGGGAATCTATAATCATTTCAAAATGAAAGTGAAAAGAAAATCAATAAGTAATCTCCTAACCCACTCCTAATCTCCCATTTCATCCCTTAACCAAATGAAGGCTCCTTGATGGTTTCTGCCACCGTAATGTGAGGGCCTCCGGCACACAGCCCCGCCCTGGGCAGCAGGCTAGTGAAGTGGAAGGAATGGGAGGATGAAAAGTCTTCAGCTCAAGAATAGCCCTGTGAATTAAATCCTCATGTCTGACTCAGTTCTAGATCTTGGGCCTTGCATTATCCTACTTGGCCTTTTTTGACCTAGCCCTGTCTTCCAAGGATCTCTCTTGCTTCTCCATGCTGTAGTACTCAAGCTGCTGAGATGAGGTCTACACTGCCCTGAGCCACCATTGGATCAGTCCGCCATCTTGTCTCTGAGACCTACTTAGGTCTCAGGTTCCTGGCTGTGGGAGAGGAAAGGAGTGTTCCTTTAGCCTGGGATCTCCCTCACTCCTTTGCTATCTCCCTGACAGACACAGCCTGGCCTGGAGGTGAAAACTCCAGGTGAGCCTTCTAGGCCAAACAGGAGTTAAGTCAGACGAAAGGAAGGAGTGAGTGGGGGGAGGGGAAGGAGCAGATTCCAGGGAGAGAAGGAAGCATGAGCAACTTCCCAGATGCCAGGAAGAGCTGGTGTGTGTCGGTGGTGGCGGTCAAGGGTGCTGTGAGCAGGCTGGTATCACTGACGTGCAAAGTGCAAGAGCGGTGAGAGAGATGACACTGGAGAGACAGGCCAAGCGATGTCATGGGGACTCTGAAGGCCTTGTTGAACAGGTCAAGCCTTATCATGGATGTCAAGGGAAGCCAGTGAAAGGATTTTCACAGTTCAAGGGCACAGCCAAAGTGGTGTTTTAAATAGATCACCCCAAGAGTAGACTTGAGATCAGTAAGACTGGAGGCAAGGAAATAAGTGACAACATCCAGGCAAGAGATGAGAAGAGCTTTAAGGTCAGTTCAGAAGGCCGAGAGCGGATGGCAGGAGAAACATTCGGCAGGGCGTGGGGGAATGACTGGAGTGGGGATGAGTGGGGGGCGGGGGATGACTGGCGTGGGGGATGATTGATTGGCGTGGGGGATGATTGGCTTCGGGGAAGATTGGCGCGGAGGATGACTGGCATGGGGGATGATTGATTGGCGTGGGGGATGATTGGTGTGGGGGATGACTGGCGTGGGGGATGATTGGCGTGGGGGATGATTGATTGGCGTGGGGGATGATTGGCGTGGGGGATGATTGATTGGCGTGGGGGAAGATTGGCATGGGGGATGACTGATTGGCGTGGGGGATGATTGATTGGCGTGGGGGATGATTGATTGGCGTGGGGGATGATTGGCGTGGGGGATGATTGGCGTAGGGGATGATTGATTGGCGTGGGGGATGATTGATTGGCGTGGGGGATGATTGGCGTGGGGGATGATTGGCGTGGGGGATGATTGATTGGCGTGGGGGATGATTGATTGGCGTGGGGAATGATTGGCTGAGAGCGATGATCAATGAGGAGGAGACATCCAAGACGAACCCGGGTTTCCCACTTGATTGCCCACCAAGGAGTCAGAGAAGAAAATGAGGGCTTGGGGTATATCTGGAAAGCAAAGTAACAGCTTCCAGACATCTCATGTCCTGATTCCCAGACACAACGAAGAGTCTTGTGTGTAGAAACCATTGAGCGTGTGCTGTTAAAAATCCAACCCAACTCAGCATCCTCTTCCAGAAGAGTCTTGCCACTGTAATCTCACTGGGTACATTTTCCCACATTGGTGGTTTCTTTGGGCCAGTACCAAGGCTCCTGCAGGTGGGACCGCTCTGGGTTCCAAATCTGGACCATCATAATGGGAGCTCAGTGAAGAAAGCAGAGAACCACGCTCTGGTAGGAAGATACAGGCCTTTCTACCTTTTAAAAAATAAATAAATAAAGACAGGGGGTTCTCACTATGTTGCCTGAGCTGGTCCTGAACTCCTGGACTCAAGGGACCCTCCTGCCTCAGTCTCCCAAAGTGCTGAGATCACAGGTGTCAGCCACTACACCTGGCCAATTCCTTCTTATTCTTTAGCATGGAGAGACGTCAGTAACACTGTACAGCACAAGACAGTACCCAGCAGGCTGACTCCTTCGTTCGCAGCCTTGGAAGAGCCTGGCCAGGTGGGCCACACCAATCCCAGCCAGACCTGCGCCCACAGGGTGAGGCACAGGAAATCATACCTTGGTTCTGAGAGGGTTTTCCTGGTGGTTTTGATGCATGTAAATGCTCAGAAAGAGGCCCACAAGAAATGGCCCGAATCGGCAGTAGGGCTTGGTGTAGTACTCCAAGAAATACAACACAGTCGCCTCTTCACTGGAAAATACAAGGAAATGAGGCACAAGGTTACATTGGATCTGGACAGGGCAAAGGGAATCTGAATCCCTGAGATGTCCATTGGGATAATCAGCAAGCCCAAAGGTACGTTTAGGGCACGCTTGTTCATTTCCTCAGTGATGGTGTGCAAACAGTGACCTCGTGGTCCCACCTCAGCCAAAGCTGGCTTGTTTGGGTTCCAAATGCCCTCAGGCCCCTCCACCCCAGATCCCAAGGAAACGCGATGAGTATGTTCGTTTTAAATAGCCGTTTCTGGTGGCCAACATGTCAGAATGCTCTAAAAATGTAGCACCCAGATGTAAACCCAAGGGTCCCAAGGACAGAGACTGTCCTGAGAGAGAAGTTACATGAGAGGCCCAGGCCAGGCCATTGAAAGACACCAAAAAGTATTCTTTGAAGCTGTGGTTTTCAAAGTATGGTCCCTTGACATCAGCTGCATCAGACCAGGCACGGTGGCCCACATATATCATCCCAGCACTTTAGGAAGCTGAGGAAAAAACATTAGCCAAGCCTGGTGGCACATGCCTACAGTCCCAGCTGCTCAGGAGGCTGAGGCAGGAGTATCACTTGAGCTCAGGAGGTTGAGGCTGCAATGTGCCATGATCATGCCACTGCACTCCAGCCTGGGTGACAGAGCGAGACTCTGTTGCAATAGAATAAAAAACAAACAAAAAGCAAAAACACCTGCATCACCTGAGAACTTATTAGGAACCCAGATTCACGGGCCCCACCCAGACCTACTCGTGGCGGGCCCAACCATCTGTGTGTTAAGAAGGCCCCCACATGACCCTGATGCCCCTCAAAGTTGAGAAGCATTGCCTAAGCAGTGCCCTTCGTGGGAGATATCCAGGTTATACCCAAGCCCATGGAATTATCACCTCTGCACGTGGGACCCAGGAACTAGAAATTTTTAAACTCTCCTGAGCTTCCCAACTGCAGCCTAGATTGAGAACCCCTGCTTCAAATTTATCACCACTCCCTAGTGAAGCTAGATGCACTCTCGGCTCTGAGTCCCCTAGCTGCCCATGCAGGGACTACTGGAAGAAGGAAAGGTGTTTGAGGATAAGATGCATGGTTTTTCCACTGTGGCTGCACATTAGAACTCTGGGAGCTCTTACAAAAGTCGGCCGCCTGGGTCCCATACCCAGAGATTCTGATTCAGTGGTTTGGAGGTGGGGTTGGAAGCATCAGAGGAGTTAGAAGCTCCCAGGTGATTCTAACATGTGGTCAGGGTTGAGAACTGCTGGTCTAGACATGAGTGAGCCTCCTCCTCAATCACCTGGCCACACCATGATATGGGAAGGGCAAGTTCCTGGTCAGGAAACTTGGGATGTTGACACCAATTCCTCCATTTATTCTCACATGCCACCCACTCACAGATTCACATGGGGCACTTACATGCCAGGAACGATTTTATTTTGGAAGGTTGGCAAAGGCTGCTCTGAGAAGGTGACATTTGCACAGACACCTGAACGATGTGAAGGAGAAAGCCCTGCCGAAATCTCAGAATTTAACGGAAGAGTAATTCAGGCTAGATAGCAAGTGCTAAGGCCCCGGGTCCAGGAGGGTGGGGAAGGGGATTTGGGGAGCATGCTTGGTGTGTTGAGATGATTTGGTGTGGCTGGTCCAGCGTCAGCAGGTAGGAGGGTGACCGATGAGGCCATTGGAGGGATTCGAGCAGATGACGGACATGAGCTGATTTTCATTTGTGTCACTCTGACTGCAGCATTGAGAAAAGATTCGCAGGTAATCATACCAGTTTTTCCTGCGTAATTGTCATACACGTCTCATGGGGGAGGTGAAATAACACTGTGGATTGGCTCCTAAGTTCAAATCACACCTGTGCCACCCACTAGTTGTGTGACCTTGAAGAGGTAGCCCCAGCTCCCTTAAGGCTCAGTCTCCCCATCCAACAACCGAGCCACCAAGCAGCAATTTGCTGCGGGAGGAGAAACACAGTAGAGCCACAAGGGGGCGCTCCTTTCCTCCGAGAAGTTTCAATGGGCAACTTGAGTTCAGAGAGGACCCTCCAATACAGGTTAAAAGGTTCAGAAGTTTGGACGCAAGAAGGCAATCAGCTTTCCCATTCAGAGCGAACATTTAGCACCCACTTTTTCCACAAGCCAAAGGGCACAGGGTGAACAGCCTGGCATTCAGCAGTCCTCCCTGAGAGGTCCTGGCCAGAGAGGGGCAGGCTGGGGAACCGCTTTACCTGGATTCGGATGGAGCCACCACGGGAAGTTTATACGCCAGTGTGATCAGAGCAGTGGCTGTGAAAGATGCCAGGAGCAGCGCGGCCCCAAGGAGGATGAGGATTTGTGTGCTCCTACAAAGAAGAGAGGACACGGAGAGGAGTACCCTTCAGTTTCTTGCCCAACACGTGCGCTTCCTGTGGACATGAAAGGCTGGAAATTTTGACCTTCAGAGGAACTTCCTGCTGGCCCTGCTTCTGAGAGGATGGTGAGGGGCAGGGAGAGCTGGGCTGGGCCTGGAGGACCTGAGGCAGCCTCGGTCTTGACCATCTATTAGCCGTGCCACACTGGGCAGGGCCTTGAACTTGAGTTTCCTGGTCTAGACAGGAAGAGTATTCTCATTCTCACCTGCCTGCCCTGGGGCAAAAGGAGTCCATGCCTGGGAATGTCCCTATGAAACATGATATGGACACAAGTGGTGGTTGACTTGGGAGAGAATTGTCAGAGACATGGTGGGACACAGGGTGGACTCACTCCAAGCGCAGGGGAGAGGGGATCAAGGATCAAGCAGGGGGATAGTATGGTTTGGATCTTTGTCCCTGCCCAAATCTCATGTGGAATTGTAATCCCCAGTGTTGGGAGTGGGGCCTGATAGGAGGTGACTGGAGCATGGGGGTGGATTTCCCCCTTGCTGTTCTCGTGATAGTGAGTGAATTATCATGAGATCTGGTTGTTCAAGAGTGTTGTAGCACCTCCCACTTTGCTCTCTTCCTCCTGCTCCTACCATGGAGCACCAAGGGGAAGGTGCCTGCTTCCCCTTCTGCCCTAATTGTAAGTTTCCTGAGGCCTCCCTAGAAGCAGAAGTCTGTACAGCCTGCAGAACCATGAGTCAATGGGATGGAGAAAGGGCCAGAGCTTCAAGCATCAATCACCATCCCTGTTTGTCTCTCAGAAAGGCCCATTCAGGGGCCATCACCCAAGAGGAGAAAGGAACAGTCTGAAAGACCCCAGGCTGCTCTGAGGCCTCTGTCTGCCCCATGCGTCCTGGCCGGGACTTCCCATTGGATTTCTCTTGCCTTTTTCTCACTCAATACTGGTCCAGGGCCAGGCACAGTGGCTCACACCTGTAATCCCAGCACTTTGAGAGGTCAAGGTGGGAGGATCATTTGAGCCCAAGAGTTTGAGACCAGCCTGGGCAACACAGGGAGAGCCTGTCTCTACAAAAAAAAATTGTTTTAATTAGCTGGGCTTGCCAGCTACCAGGAGGCTGAGGCAGGAGGATCATTTGAGCCTGGGAGGTCAAGGCTGCAGTGAACTGTAATTGTATCAGTACTCTCCATCCTGGGCAATAGAGAAAGGCCCTTCTCAAAACAAAACAAAACTAAACTGGACCGGCAGCCAGAGCATAGGCTCCAAATGCCACCTCCAAGGAAGCCTGCACAACTTGCCCTTTCTGCTCTACCAGGCCTGCAGCACCTGCTGAGATCTCACACCTGTCCCATCTGCACCTGCAGGCACTTGCCATGGTCTCCAGAGCCTTTCTAGCAACTACACCTGTGCAGAGCTGAGGACTGTTCCCCAGAAGAACTGGCCGGCCCCAGCTCTGGTGATCCCAGCTGCTCCTCCACCCCACAGGGGTTCTTAGGGTTTGCCCTGTGGGAAGGGGACATCCACCTGCCAGGAGAGGGGCTCCCTGGACAAGAGCTGAGGTGCTGAGACCCACTGGGGCTCACTTGGCCAGGAGGGAACAGGACCCAGGGTGCACAGGGTAATTAGCTGACCCTCTCTAGGGGCTCCATGGGGCATGGGGGAAGCTTGCTCAGCACTCCTAAGGCACCTTTTCCATTTCCAGCTCTCTTTGCCTGAGTCTGGCTTGGGGTGAGGGGAAGAGCACACCAGTTCCTAATTCCCACCATCCTCCGTTGGTTCATCCAGGGGAGATATGGGTATAAATAAAGTGAATACCGAGTGGTAGGTGTTTTTAGGAGAGGACATTCAGACCTACCTTCTTTCTTTCCTTTTTTCCTTCCTCCCTTCCTTCCCTCCCTCTTCTTTCTTTTCTTTCCTTCTTTCTTTCCTTTCTTTCCCTTCTTTTTCTTTATCTTGATTCCCCAAATAAATAGAACCATAACTATCAGATTTCATGATCTCCATCATCCACCTCATGCTTTTCTCAGTTCTATTTTGCTATAAAAATCTCCCCACTAACTAGAACATTGGGGGGATGTTTTATTGTTTGGGAGGATGGAGGAAGTGGGGATCACCCCTCCCTCTGCAGTGTTACATGTACAGGCACCCCACCCACCACCCAGGTACCCAGCATTTATTCACGGCCACCACATTACTCCCCACCACCCTCGGAGGAGGCGGAATTCAGAGGTTGAAAAGGCAGAGAGGTGCGAGAAGAGATGGGCTGGGCAGAAACAGAATGCAAACCCCTGCAATCCAGGTGGCCTTCATTAAAACTCGCTCTACACCAAAACCTTCTAGAAAGGGTGGGCAGACAGGACATCAAGGGAAGAGGTCTGCTTGCACACAGGAGGGACCTTTTGTGAAACAGGGACAGCATAAGAAACATGGTGAGCTGGCCTGCCCCTGAACTGGTCCAGCTGATCAGAAGCTCACAGCAGGTTATCTAGGGATCCCTGCAGAGGCTGGAGGGACAAGGGGTCCCCACAGCTTGGGGGTGGGTAGCTGGGGACCAAGGCAATTCCACTGGAATCCCAAAGGACAGGAAGCCGAGTTGGCATGTGGGCTGCTGATTACTGAGAAGCAAGCACTGTGCTAGTACCCATAGAGAGGGTCTCGCTTGATCCCATGTGCAGTGTTATCCTCCCCATTTCACAGACAAGAGGAACGACGATGAGAGTCCAGCAACTCACCAGGGCTCAGCCAGCTGGTAATTTACCAGTTATGTTTTAAAGCCATGTCTTCTGATTCAAACTTCACTACAGAGGGAAACCACCTCTGTGCTTAGTGGAAGGGAAGTTGTAAAACAATTCTTTTTTTTTTAATGCTCAGTCCGAAAGCCCTTTAAATTTGAATTTAGACAGTTTCTTGTGCTTCTGATATGGATGTAAAAAAAAAAAAGCAGATTTTCTTGTTTTGCAAAAATTGTTCAATTATTGGATTAAATTAAAATTAGGATGCATGGTGGCTCATGCCTGTAATCCCAGCATTTTGGGGGGCCAAGGTGGGGGGATCACAAGGTCAATAGATCAAGACCATCCTGGCCAACATGGCGAAACCCGTCTCTATTTAAAAATACAAAGAATTAGCTGGGCATGGTGGCGTGCGCCTGTAGTCCCAGCTACTTGGTAGGCTGAGGCAGGAGAATCACTTGAACCTGGGAGGCAGAGGTTGCAGTGAGCCAAGACGGTGTCACTGCACTCCAGCGTGGTGACAGAGCGAGACTCCATCTCAAAAAAAACAAATTAGGATTTTTTCCCTGGCCTAAGATGCTTGAATGTTTGCAGGTGACCAGAATGGATGTCACAGATCAGCCTGAGATTTAAATATCTACCCTGAAAAGGCAAGGTCAGGAAACCCTGAAGCAGAGCAGAGTGGGTCTATCCTACTAGGAATGCAGCTCCGCCTTCAGTAATCAAAGACTTACAAGTAACATGGGAAACATGACATTTTTCTATCTATCCAAAAAGGAGGCTTGTGTCTTGTTTTGTTTTATTATGAATATTCCATACTGGCAACAGTTAAATTAGATAACTAGAGAACTGAGTATTTGATGTACCCTCTATGGAAAGTGATTTATCATTATGCTTCAAGAACCCAAGAGCCATTCATGCCCTTGCACCTAGTAATTCCCCTCAAAGATATTTGTTGAAAAGAAATCTGGGTTTCATGGAGACAAATGGTTTCCATGAGAATTTTGCCAAACCATGATTTATGAAAGCACAACATTGGAAACAATCCCTGTATTTAATAATAGAAGGTATACATAAATTATATCATTAATTCGTGAAACGGAATGTTAGGCAGATGTTAAAATAATGTTACTTTAAAAATAATATAGGAAATGTGTGTGTCATAAAACTATTAAAAGAAAGATACTAAGGTGTAGATACAGAATGCTTTCATGTATCAAAAGCTGAGCAGAGCCTGGGAAACATAGTGAAACCTTACTCTTTAAAGAAGTTAAAAAATTAGCAAGGTCCAGTGGTTCATGCCTGCAGTCCCAATTACTGGGGAGGCTGAGGCTGGAGGATCGTTTGAGCCCAGGAATTGGAGGCTGCAGTGAGCTATGATGGCACCACCGCACTATAGCAGCCCGGGTGACAGATCAAGACCCTCATCTCTTTAAAAAAAAAAAAAAAACTGAGCAGAAAAAATATCAGAAGGATAAGCCCCAAAATATGAGCAATAAATTCACCTTGCCTTGACTGACAAGGTGGAACTGCGGTGATTTTCCCCCTCTTAAATCCTAATGTTTTCCAATGTTTCCTAAATTGAACATATATTTTAACTAAAAGGAACAATAAACTTTTTAATATGGCAATGAATAATCCACAACTATAAGTCTCTCCATGAATTATTGAGGCCTTAAGGTGTTTCTAAAACTAACAAAAATTAAGGTGATAAATATCCAATGTGGGAAAGCTGGTGCACTGATGCCTTGCTGAGGGCGTTGTAAACTACTTCACTCTTTCCGGAGAGCAATCTCACAGGAGGTGACCAGTGCCACAAAATTGTTCCTACCTTTGACCTACCAATTCCACTTGGAAATCTGCCCCCATGGAAATAACTAAGAGAAAAAGTATTGTGTTCAAAGGCATGCATTGCAGCGCCATTTATCGTGAAAAATTGGACACGATCTAGATGCCCAACCATGAAAAATGGTAGATAAACCCTAAAACTGACAAGAATGCAGGTTATGTCAATATGTGGCAATGTTTGTAAGAACAGTTAAACGGAAAATGCTGAGCACTAGATGTTACCTGCACACACCGATCGCAACCTGAGCACTAGATGTTACCTGCACACACCGATCGCAACCTGAGCACTAGATGTTACCTGCACACACCGATCGAAACCTGAGCACTAGATGTTACCTGCACACACCGATCGCAACCTGAGCACTAGATGTTACATGCACACACCGATCGCAACCTGAGCACTAGATGTTACATGCACACACCGATAGCAACCTGAGCACTAGATGTTACATGCACACACCGATCGCAGCCTGAGCACTAGATGTTACCTGCACACACCGATCGCAGCCTGAGCACTAGATGTTACCTGCACACACCGATCGCAGCCTGAGCACTAGATGTTACCTGCACACACCGAGCGCAACCTGAGCACTAGATGTTACCTGCACACACTGATCGCAACTGCAAAACACACACTGACTTGCATAGGATTAATGTTGGAAGAGAATGCGGAGGAAGGCGAACAGTGGAGGATTTGGCATTTACTTTTCTGTAAAGTTCGTTTCCTACATTTTAAAAAGCAGCTCTGTACGGAACTGGGGCACTTTTGGAGAGTTTTGTGAAAGAGGCCACATGAGGAGAAAAGCTTGTCCCAATCAGACTCACTTATCGTGGATGAAGATAATTACTGGGGTGGTGAGGTGGAACTGGAAGTCATTGGCAAGGTACCAGGTCCAGCCATTGCACTGCAAAGAGAGCAGAAAAGGTCACCTTTCCTTCATTTACCAGTTCTGCTCCACACTTTCCACCCGCCTCAGCTAGGAACAAGAATTCAGTAGATGGGTAGGGCGAATTTCTGTGGGAAGACAAAGGAAACTTGAGTTTGTGATATTAATATTTCACATGCCTCATCCTGAGCCTTGTACCAAGCCTGGATGGCAGCTATTATTGTTGCCATTTTACAAAACGGAGATTCAGACAAAATTTCTCTTTTGCTTAGAAAAGAAAAACAACCATAGCCCATCTCTGGGACAGCTGTGGGAACTGAGCTCTGTCATGTTACAGGAATGTAAGGTTATCATCATGATGATGCAGTTGGAAGTCAGAGGGGCCAACGTTTTTCTCTTTTCTTTGCCTCTCCCATGCCCCAACTCTAGGTGGAAAGAACATGTTCATTTAGAACCAGTGCTTGCCTCCAGATGTTCTGTGGGGAATCCTAGAGTTCCCATGGATGATTGACATGGGATTGCCTGGCCAAAATGAGTTCCACAGACCATCCATGCTTATGCAAGATAAGATGGTTACCAGTCGTTTTTTTCTTTAATGTGAGGAAGTCCCAGGGGGGGCAGTTATCTCCAGAGGACCCTGGCACCTCTGCTTTTAAGGATCTAAAGTGAGCTGTACCTCCAAAAGGCCACTGGCTGGTATTCCCACTGCTTCCCACGAATGGCCCAAGTCAGTTTGCAGCAGGGAAAACAGCCCAGAGTATCCCCGGGGAACCCCATCACAGACAGGCCCTCTGAGAGGGGGGCGCCACCTGCAGGCAGGCGGATGGTGATGCAAGCCTGTCCAAACAGCTGGGCGTTTGCAAATGGAAGGCAGCCAGATATCTAGTTGGTGAGCTGGGATGTACAATGATGAGGGTCCTGCCATGCTTTAGCGATTCCCTTTGCAGCCTTGATTTGAAGGCATATGTGGAACTGGTGATATGACTGAATTACAGCTCGCCTCTGTCTGGAGAGCCTATACCGCGATGGGACACCGCACCGCACCCTTACTGGGTTGAATTCCACTCAAGTTCAAAGTAGACCTGACCTGACCGAGCTGGTTTGGAGCAACAGCATCTATGTGTGTCTTGGCTTCTCCAAAGCCCCAGTTTCCTCATAATGAACTTGAAGCAAGTGAAAGTGAAATAGCAACCCGAGACTCACCGCACTCCGGACCGACACAAAGTTATTTAGGAGCAGCAGGTTTGTCCACCACGCTTGCCGGCAGCTATCCCAGTGGAATTTGGGCACTTCCCAGACAGGTCCCCAGGGAATAAGAGAGAACAGTCCAACCAACAAGCACACCGAATACAGGTGAAGAGGCTGCAACCTGGCAGGAGAGAGCCGGGAGAGAGAAGGTGGCTTTATACGGGGGGTCCCTTCTGTCCCCTCAGTGGGCACATGGTGGGTGGGGCATAGGTGCTCGAAAACAGATTGTTTATACTGTGGGCAGCCGCCACCCAGCACCCATGAGTTCAAGGTCACTTACTGAGCACCCATCATGTACGGGCTCAGGTGCGACTACTGCAAAAACACTGCTCTTTATTTCTTTATTTTTTAGAGGCAGGATCTCACCCATTACGACTTTGACTTCCACCTCCTGGGCTCAAGCGATCCTCCCACCTCAACCTCCCAAGTAGCTAGAACTGCAGGCGCATGTTGCCATGTCCCACTAAAAATCCTGTTATTTATTGAGCAGGTCATATGGTTCAAGCACTGTGGGAGGAGCCTCCTAGGGATATCTAACCCTCAAAACCATCCTGCAAGGTAGCCACGACCTCCATTTTAGGAGGAAATTATAGCTAAGAGAAGTTAGGGTGACCCGCTCAAGGTCAGCAACCACATAGGAATACCAAGACCTGGTACCCGTTCATGTTCTTTCCACGTGGCCTCACGAAATGAAAAGCTCTTTCTTCCTTTCCTCCCTCTTTCCCTCACTTCATTTCTCCCTTCCTTCACACCCTACCTCCTCCAAGCAAGATCTGAAGCAGCTATGAAGGGGAAGAAGCAGGAGCAAGGTGTCTAGACCAGCGCTGTCCTATAGAAACAGGATGCACACACAGCTGTCCCCAGTGACACACCTTCCAGTAGCCACAATATGAAAGGTAAAAAGATGGCTCACGCCTGTAATCCCAGTACTTTGGGAGGCTGAGGCGGGTGGATCATGAGGTCAGGAGTTCAATATCAGCCTGGCAAAGATGGTGAAATCCCATCTCTACTAAAAACACAAAACAAATTAGCCAGGTCTGTGGCAGGCGCCTGTAATCCCAGCTATTCAGGAGGCTGAGGCAGAGAATTGTTTAAACCCCTGAGGCAGAGGTTGCACTGAGCTGAGATTGTGCCGCTGAACTCCAGACTAGGCAACAGAGCAAGAGGCCATCTCAAAAATAAATAAATTAATTTAATTTAATTTAATTTTAAAAGGTAAAAAGAAATAGGTACAACTCATTTTAATATAATGTATTTAGACCAATATATCCAAAATATTATCATTACAAAATGTAGCCAATATGAAAGATTGCTAATAAGCTGTTTGATATTATTTTCTCTTTTCCTGAGTCTTTAGAGCCCCGTGTGGGCTTTGCACACACAGCCCACCTCACCTGGCCACTTACCTGGTGGCTATTTGCTGGACAGTGTGGGTTTAGCATTTAGAAGTGAGATTACAGCCTGGAGGCGCATGCAATTCTGGCATGGATTCTGGATGGGCTGGGGTCGGAGCCCTCTTCTTAAAGAATACAGCTAAAAATCCAGGGTAGTTTTGGCTCAGCTAGGGCAGAACAATGAGCCAGCAGTACCTCCAAACATCTGGGTGAAAGGGTGGGAGCTGGGTGGTGTTGACAGATAGGAACTGGCAGGACTCGGAGCATCTCCACATAGAGGCGCTCCCCCAGCAGAGAGGACTCAGCACTAAGCCTCTAGTCAGCACCCAGGAACGAGACCATTGATTACTCTGTTCTCACCACAGTGAGAACGTCCTACATAGAGAGTGTCTGGTGGTGGCAGGGCAGTAGACTTCAAGGAGAGGGAGTGGCATTGTTGATCAATGTCATAGAGGAAAGGCAGGCAACTCCATCAAGGCACAGCTTCCCAGGCCAGGCACTGTGGCTCCTGCCTGTAATCCCAGCACTTTAGGAAGCCAAGGCAGGCAGATCACAAGGTCAGGAGTTTGAGACCAACCTGGCCAACATGGTGAAACCCCATCTTTACTAAAAATATAAAAATTAGTCAGGCGTGGTGGCAGGTGCCTGTAATCTCAGCTACTCAGGAGGCTGAGGCAGGAGAATCGCTTGAACCTGGGAGGCAGAGGTTGCAGTGAGCCGAGATCGTGCCATTGCACTCCAACCTGGGCAACTCCAGCATGGGCAACAGAGCCAGACTCCATCTCAGAAAAAAAAAAAGACAGAGCTTCCCAGATCAGCTCTCCTGCACGTTTGCTCAGGCGACAGCCTCCCTGGGTCCTAGGCCCTGGGTCCTGCCATGTTTGCCATCTGACCACACTGCCCTGCAGCTGCCCCCACAAGCCTCCACCCCACCTCCCCAATCATCCTTCCCACCATCTGTCACCTCCCTTCCCCATGGGAAGTAGTCAGCCACTGCTCCCTTCAGAAGCAGAACAGAAGGGAGCGTTCCCCTGCCCCCTACTCCAGGCAGCATCCCCCACCTCTGCCAAATCCCCGCTCCCTGGGGTGCACGTTGAAATGCAGGCTCAGAGTCTGCAGGCTGTTGGATGAGCCTCGCCTTGAGTAGCAAGCTTGTCTAAACTTTTTGCACTGAGAAAATCATGTATTGTCTCCTCTTTCCTCTTCTCTAAAAGGGAAATGATAGTTTCTGTTTTCTGAGATTTTTTGAAAATCTAACGAGATCAACAAGAAAACAGTTTGAAATTTCTAAAACACCCTAAAATGTACGCATGCTACATTTTTGTCCAGGTTTCCAAGAGAATTAAAGTCAGAGTAGGTTTTCAAAGATTAAAACATAGGACAGTGGCCAGCGTGGTGGAGGTGTGAGAAGCAGGCATTCTCATACCTGGCGGGTGGGAAGGTAAATTGGAAAATGCCCATGAAATGTTAAATGCACAAAACCCCCAATTTGACTTGTAGGAATTTAGCCCACAAACATATCTATACAAGTGCACAAAAATATGGCAATTGTCTCATTGTCTAAGACAGCAAAGAACATTATTACCTCCAGGCCCACTATTGGAGACAACTTAAATACACCCCGCTGTGCCAGACTGACAACCTTTAACATCAGGGATGTGGATTCTTGTGTGCTAACAGAGAAAGAGGCCCATTCTGGCCGGGCGCGGTGGCTCACGCCTGTAATCCCAGCACTTTGGGAGGCCAAGGTGGGCGGATCATGAGGTCAGGAGATCGAGACCATCCTGGCTAACACGGTGAAATCCCATCTCTACTAAAAATACAGAGAGAGAGAGAGAGAGAGAGAGAGAGAGAAATAGGCCAATTCTGTATTATTAAGTGAAAATACCACGTGCAAACAGTGAAGTGGTCATGTATTGTTTTATTTTTATTTAATTTTTTTTTGAGATGGACTCTTGTTCTGTTACCCAGGCTGGAGTGCAGTGGCTCGATCTCGGCTCACTGCAACCTCCAACTCCCAGGTTCAAGTGATTCTCCTGCCTCAGCCTCCCAAGTAGCTGGGATTATAGGCACTCGCCACCATGCCAGGATAATTTTTGTATTTTTAGTAGAGACAGGGTTTCACCATATTAGCCAGGCTGGTCTTGAACTCCTGACCTCATGATCCACCCGCCTTGGCCTCCCAAAGTGCTGGGATTACAGGTATAAGTCACTGCTCCCGGCCCTATGTTGTTTTATTTTTATCGTTACCATTAGCACTCTGATTTGCAGGATCCAATTACTACTAATTTACAGACAGATTCTCCTGTTGAATACAGATTCCGTGGAAATCTGACAGTGCATTTATTGAACTCTGCTGCCCATCAGCTGAGGTCTAAGGGCGTTTTTGCCAGTGGAACATACCAGTTTTCATGGTGTTTGTCCCAATAGAATTTGAACCATATTAAACCAGCTAAAATCAACTGTATTTAGGGAAGAAAACGATTTCTTTCAGTTTGTTTTTCTTTGGAAATTCTTTCAAAAGAGGGTTAAAGTCAGAAAACTAATAAATTATTACATAGCAATGAGGAATTGAGAAATTATGTAAATAAACCTACCTTACCAGGCGACTGAGAACATATCTGAGTATGACTTTAGGGGTTATTCCTTTGTCTGAATTCTGATGCATCTTTAAAAACGACCTTGCACTTAACCATCCACTAAAAGAAAAAGAAGAATTGTCACAAGAATTACTTATCAGTAATACAGTTCAGCCTGGCACGGTGGCTCACACCTATAATCTCAGCACTTTGGGAGGCTGAGGCATGCGGATCACAAGGTCAGGAGTTTGAGACCATCCTGGCCAACATGGTGAAACCCTGTCTCTACTAAAAATACAAAAATTAGCCAGGCATGGTGGCAGGTGCCTGTAGTCCCAGCTACTCAGGAGGCTGAGGCAGGAGAATCGCTTGAACCCAGGAGGCAGAGGTTGTAGTGAGCTGAGATCGTCCCACTGCACTCCAGCCTGGGTGATCAAGTGACATTCTGCCTCAATAATAATAATATAGTTCATTGATTGATTCATTTGCTTGTCCCAATCTGGACAGAATAAATTATGGCTGCATTAACAAAGCACCTCCAAGTCTTAAAACGATTGTTTTGTTCTTGCTCATGCTGCATGCCCAGGTTGACAGAGCAGCCACCATCTGAAAGCTCACCAGTGACCCTGGAAGATGACAATGGCATTCTGGAGGCCACACACCAGCAATGAAACCCTCTAACCTAAAAGTGTCATGCTTAAAGCTCTTAGCGTGAGAGTTTAAAGCACTTAGCATAATGGCAATACCAGGTACCACTGGGTCAGAACTAATGATGCAACCCACCCAACCACAATGGTGCTGGGGAGTGGAATGTTGCCAGCTGCCAGAAACGGAGGGAGACAGAAACGTACGTCGAACAATGTTAATGACTACCATTTGATCCTTTGAAATAATAACACCAAGGCTTTCCATTGTGTAGTAGTACCTTGCTTTCAAAGTACTTTCGCTAATGAGATTGCTTTTGATTCTCCAGTTCTACCAAACTACTTTGCAAAAAAATATTTGTTGGCCAGATACGGTGGTTCACGCCTATAATCCCAGCACTTTAGGAGGTGGGTGGATCACCTGAGATCAGGAGTTTGAGACCAGCCTGGCCATCATGGCAAAACACCACCTCTACTAAAAATACAAAAATTTGCTGTGCGTGATGGCGTGTGCCTGTAGTCCCAGCTACTCAGGAGGCTGGGGCAGGAGAATCACTTGAACCCTGGAGGCGGAGATTGCAGTGAGCTGAGATCGCACCACTGCACTCCAGCCTGGGCGACAGAGCAAGACTGTCTCAAAAAAAATAAAGAAATAAATAAATGTTTGTTGAGTGAATAATTGACTAGATGAATAAACAGCCCTATTAGGTAAAAAGGAAGATACTATATCATTCCTGCTTCTCTGGTGGAAAAAGTGAGACCCAGAGATTATTAAGAGGGTTGCCCAAGATCACAAAATTCTTAACCAACATACCCTGCTGACAAATCCATTATCCAGAATGTTCAGCCAAAGAAACCAAAGTTATGCCTTTTAATTGCAACTGATTAGGTAAGCAAGTATGTGAGTTTCTCAACCTTTTGACATTTATACCAGTGATCACTGTGGGTGTTTCCCTAAGGAGCTAATGTATTTCCTATTGCAAACAAAGCAGTGTGTTGGGTGGGACTTGGAAGGGATCAGGGAGGGTTGGAAAATGTCTCTATTCTCTGCCTGCCAGATTTTCCTTTGAAAAGCAGCAAGCTGGACTCATTAAATCGGAAGAAAATTTATAGAGACATCTAAAAGAGAATGCTAAGAGCGGGAAGCAGGGCAGCCAATTCTGATTCCGGCCTTCTCTTAATTTCAGGAAAGGATAAATCAGGGCAATTCTTTCCTTTCAGAGTGACTGGCTCCCCCTCTGCCAGCACAGTTGCTAAGCAAAGCCTGGGTCTCACTGTGTGTGCGGGCACACACCTCCCAGCCTGCAAGTTCATCCAGAGAGGGCAACGAGAAAGACTGGCAGGAAAACAAGCTCTGAGCAAGACAGCTAGCTCCCAGGGGCTAAGACCCAGAGAGCTGAGCCCACCGCAACAGAGAAAAGCACGCACTAGTGATGGATGAAGTCAGCCCGAGAGTGGGAGAGGATTCCAAAACAGTCGCCAACTGGTTATTCTTCACGATCATCAGAAGGCTTTGGTTGTACTATGTAAATATCAGTGACATAGTAAGACGTGGTTTCCTTGTGAAACAAAGTACACTTAAGTTCTAATTCTAACCTTACTAGCTCTGTAGACTTGGACAAATTACCTCATTACTGAATATCAAGAAGTTTCTCATCTGTAAAACTGGGGGTGATCTGGATACCAGCTTTATAGGTTTCTTGTGAGAATTGCATGTGGATAAGAGATTTCAAGCTCCTAGCATAATGGCAATATAGGCATCGCTATTAATAATGGTTTTATTGTTGAAAAGAAAGTTTTAAATAAAGTATGAACATTTGAAAGTAATACAATAAAAACTGAAGGAAAAGAATAAAAAGACAGTCACAGAGACTGGTGGTGAGAAAAGGAAGCAAACAGTGATAAAGAGAAAAGAAATGTACTTCTGCACCTCTAGGCTGCTATCAAAATCTGCCTGGCTTCCGCCACCTGTGTCGGCCTCAGCTCCTCCTGCCTGGGCTCACACGGAGCTTCTCAGCCTTCAGCAGGCACAACCCGGAGAGCTTGTGACAGTCCAGATTGCTGGACCCATCCCCCCAGAAAGTCTGATTCAATGGGTCTGGGGTAGTGCCCAAGAATTTGCACTTATACCAATTCCAGGTGATGCTAGTGAAACTGCACTGGGTCGGCTAGCTGAGGAAACTGACATAAGGCACGGCCCTCCCTGACCCCGGACCAATCCAGGTGGGAGATACGTTGTCTTTACATATGTGTAGTTTTCTGGGCTGTTTGGTATTTCAGTAGCCTTGGCCTGCACTTTAGATATCTCAGGACTGATCTGGTGGCTTCTCTGGTGTCTGCAGTTCCCCCTGATGGCCCAGGGATGACCAGTGGCCTTTCGTGCCCCCCATCTTTCCATCCTAGTGGCAGCTTTCCTAGTCTCCAGATTGAGTCTGGCTTCGGTGCCCGTCATCCTGATCTGTCTTTGCCAGTGTCCCTCCCAGGGCTTGGAACCCTGCCAGTCAGTCCCATCCCTGCATACAGTCATTTTTGCCTGGCTTACCAGGAACAGAGTTCTGGTCTTCTACTGCTGCCCCCTGGGCAGACCTCCCATTCTCCAGGGGTCCACTCCATGTCTTCTGCAGCTGGGCTTCCCATGCCTGGTGAGACCCACTGCTGCCCTCTTGGAAAGTCTGGAGCCCAGGGGTTCCCGAATCGCTGCTGGGTTTGCTGTACACTGTGAACCCTGAGCCTGGCCTGCTTGGGATCCTCTGCCATTGTCACCTTGGCCACTTCCTAGCATGGTCCTTAATGGACAGGTCTCAACTCATTCTGCATCTCTCTTTCTCAGTGTTACCACAAGAAACTATCACACCAGACTCTGGAGATAAGACAAGAAATCATTCATTTCGACAGTGACTTATTGAATAGTCCTCCATGGCTAGCACTGCTTTTGTGACCTGGTGACATAGCAGTACACAAAATAGAAAAACAAACTTTCTGTGTTACATTCCACTGGAGAGACACAGACAATCAATCAATCAAAAATGGCAGCTAGGGCTGGGTGTGGTGGCTCAGGCCTGTAATCCCAGCACTTTGGGAGGCAAGGCGGGCAGATCACAAGATCAGGAATTCGAGACCATCCTCATGGTGAAACCCCATCTCTACTAAAAATACAAAAAAAAATTAGCTAGTCATGGTGGCGGGTATCTATAGTCCCAGCTACTTGGGAAGCTGAGGCAGGAGAGTCGCTTGAACCCGGGAGACGGAAGTTGCAGTGAGTTGAGATCGTGCCACTGCACTCCAGCCTGGGCGATGAAGCAAGACTCCATCTAAAAAAAATTAAAAATAAAAAAAATGGCAGCTATAGTATGTTGGATAAAATGAAGAAATGAAGTCAAGAAGGCTAATAGCTGCACTTCAGATCGGGGACGAGGAAGGCTTTGCTTTGTAAAAACTTGAAGAAGAGAAATTGAACCACCAGGATGTTAGGGAGGTGAGGGTTACAGAAGGTGGCTGGTGATTAGGAATCCCTTACTATTGCTCCGCGCAGCACCGTGGCGAGTTCTCTCCTAACTGGATGGTTCACACACATTTGAATTTAATGACTTTTTCCCCCCGAGATAGAGTCTCACTATTGCCCAGGCTGGAGACACTTTCTTCTCTTGAACCCAGGAGGTGGAGGTTGCAGTGAACTGAAATTGCACCACTGCACTCCAGCCTGGGTGACAGAGTGAGACTGTCTCAAATAATAATAATAATAAGTGGTTGCACACCATTGTAAATGTGCTAAATGCCACTGAATTTTACACTGAGTGGTTTATTTTATGTTTTGTTAATTTTACCCCGATTTTTAAAAACAAAAATAGGAATTTTCATGAGGATTAAATGAGATACTTTTTCAAAGTGCTTACCACAGTGCCTGACATTTCTCAAAGAGTTAAGAAATTGTACCTCTTAATAGTTCATATAAATAAAGATAACCTTATAAAACATCATGCCATTTTCTTAATTTTTCCCGTTTCACTACAGTGAGAATTGGGAACCTCATGGAGCACCTGTCCCAATCTGTGGGCCAGAATTGGAGAACCACGGAAATGAACAATTTTGATGAATACAATCAATGTCTGTAAAAGGCCTGTGTTATAGCTCCATCCTCACTCATTTAATAAACCGAAGATACAGTGGAGAGTCTCTTATGACCACAGCACTGTCTAGAAATGGACAGAGACCCAGGTAAATCAATGTGGGTCATTCAGCTCTTCTCATTAGAGCAAGAATGGTAACACACACACACGTCCCCAAACACACAGCAACAAGCCCGACAGCAATGAAAACACAGCTCCATCTTATCACCTGATCAGGAAGAACGTGTCAACTCCAAGATAGAAGGGCCCACTCCGAGAGTAAAGGTACAGTGGGTTTCTAGGCACTCTGCTTTTCCATTCAAGCACATTATCTGTAACAAATATTAAAAAGCAGTGTCTTTTGGTTTCATAGAAGAAAATCCTGTGATTTCTCTTTTCAGAAAAAGCAAGAGAAACACCTTTAACTTTCAGCTGTACTGGGTGGGCTTTAAGAATCAGTGTAATGGTGGCTCATGCCTGCTATCCCAGGACTTTGGGAGGCAGAAGCGGGCGGATCACTTGAGGTCAGGAGTTCGAAACCAGCCTGGCCAACATGGTGAAACCCTGTCTCTAAAAAAAAAAAAGAATCACTGTAATTCTGCTGGGTGCAGTGGGATTACAAAGCCTATAATCCCAGCACTTTGGGAGGCCGAGGCAGGCGGATCACCTGAGGTTGGAAGTTCAAGACCAGCCTGACCAACATGAAGAAACCTCATCTCTACTCAAAATACAAAGATTAGCCAGTCATGGTGGCGGACACCTATAATCCCAGTTACTCAGGGCTGAGGCAGGAGAATTGCTTGAACCCAGGAGGTGGAGGTTGCAGTGAGCCGAGATCACGCCACTACACTCCAGCCTGGGTAACAGAGTGAAACTCAGTCTCAAAAAAAAAAAAAAAAGGATTTACTGTAATTCACATAAGAGGAGAAGTTAGCCTGGGAATAAAAGGTGGGGGACTTGGGTCCCCAACAGTCATTCAGGAGCTTTGAGCTCCTGTGTTCACTCACAGTGGCCACAGCGCCCTTGGACTATACAGCAGCCCCTATTCATGGGCTGAGGCAGATCACCCGGGAGGCTGCTTCCATCTGCCCTGGGCTGTGTCTGCCCCCTGTTTAGAGAGTGCCACTATTATGGATAGAAAAGTCTGGAGCCCAGGGGTTCCCGGATCACGGCTGGGTTTGCTGCACACTTCAGGAGGGTAGCCGCAGGGAAAAGGTGGAGAGACGCCGATTTGACACTAGTGCATCATGTTTATTTATGCTTGTCTGCTTCTCAAGGAAAAATAAATGTTAGTTCCTGGCTTCATTAATCACGATGAGACAGAACTTGGCTCTTTGGATGATGAAAATGCAATACCTAGGCTGGGTGCGGGGGCTCACGCCTGTAATCCCAGTACTTTGGGAGGCCGAGGAGGGCAGATCACCTGAGGTCAGGAGTTCGGGACCAGTCTGGCCAACATGGAGAAACCCCGTCTCTACTAAAAGTATAAAAAATTAGCTGGGTATGGTGGCATGCACCTGTAATCTCAGCTACTCAGGAGGCTGAGGCCGGAAAATTGCTTGAACCCAGGAGGTGGAAGTTGCAGTGAGCCAAGATCACACCATTGCCATTGCACTCCAGCCTGGGTGACAGAGCAAGACTCTGTCTAAAAAAATAAGAAATTTAATTTTAAAAAAATGAAAATACAATACCCAGGTATCACTATTCACCTGGCAGCCAGGTGCCTGAATTGTACATACAGAGAGTAAAAAGAAGTTCCTAGACACTGGCCTGGAAAGCTTACGGATGGGAGGTCACACAGCATCGCTAAAACAGAAGGAAGGCTGCTGTGGGAAGTCTGCCAGCCTCCCATCCTTTGGCCAACACGATCCCACTATACCAAAGAGTTTCTCTGCCCTGACTGCTCCTAGAGTAAAGGCTTGTCAACTCTCCGCACCCAAAGACAGCCATGCAGTCATCTGACTGGTGTGTCCCGAGATGATCCAGAGGAGACTCAAGACACGAATGCCACTCAGCGCAGAGCAGGTGCTGCCTGGAGTCTTTGTAGTCCAGATGGCTGGCACATTCTTCTGCCAAGAAAAGCACGGCAGAGCATGAGCCACGGCTCCTAGAAACCCTGGGCAAGAGCAAAAGGTGTTACTGTCCACTCTGACCGCCAGGGTGTCCACATGCCACCCCACATCAAGAACCAAAGCGCGACCCACAGATCTTGGCCATTACGCGTAGGCTCTCTTGCTCTGACCCTGAACTTCTCAGTTCAGTTCCATGGTACCGTCTTGATCTATCCGTGGACTTTTGTAGTTGGCATCCCTCCCTTTTGAATCTTGACTTTCCCTAATAGACTTAACCTAAGTTTGGTGCCTCACGTGCTTTGCACAGAATACGCTGCCCAAGCTCAGGCCCCAGAGACGTCAACCTCTGACCCCAGTTCTGTTTGACAAAGAGTCGAGGAAAAAAAGAACACAAACATCAGTAAGAATTGGTGTGATCACAAAGCAAGCATTTCATTGAAAGGACACCCCTGCAATCCTGAGGGCCATTTGCTTCTGAATAATGAATAATGGGCGGGGTGTAGTGGCTCACGCCTATAATTCCAGCACGTTGGGAGGCCGAGGCAGGTGGATCACGAGGTCAGGAGATTGAGACCAACCTGGCTAACATGGTGAAATCTTCTCTCTACTAAAAATACAAAAAATTAGCCAGGTGTGGTGGCACACATCTGTAGCTTCAGCTACTCAGGAGGCTGAGGCAGGAGAATCACTTGAACCCAGGAGGTGGAGGTTGCAGTGAGCCGAGATCGCTCCATTGCACACCAGCCTGGGCAACAAGAGCAAAGTGCTGTCTCAAAAAAAAAAAAAAGAATTTAATTTTTACACATCCCGAGAAGCAAATGTCTAGAATTGCAAAACAGGAGTCTCCAAGCTCAAGCCAGCTCCAAGAGATTCACGTTTCCTCCTGGACAGAGCCCCGTGCCTTCAACATTGTGGGCACAAAGAAGTCTTTGCAGAATTAAAACTTATTCACAAATGAGGTCTGGTGCGTAACCAGTTCTAGAAATCTAAACCAATGCCTTAAATTGAAGAACTTCATTACCTAGTATTTGGAAGTCCCAGCCGTGAATACAAGCTTTTCCATGTAAGTCACTCTGTGATTGCATATCTGTCTGAAGTCCCAACACCCACCCTTGTCATTCACGGGGGTTTTTACTCAGGAATTGGCCGAGAGTACAGCCAATTACATTACTCGTTGTAATGCGGATTCTAGAACATCAAACATCGGGTTTGAAGCCTAATGTGGCAAGCTAGCACTCAATATGTTTTCTTGTTATTATGTTTTTTCCATCTAAATTCTACTCGTGAGTGAACTTACCCATCAGTGGTGTATAAAGGCTTCTGAAAATAACTGCTCTAGAGGGAAGACAACCTCCCTGATGCTCATTTAGCCCATTTGTAAACGGAAAGTGTTATAAACCAGAAGGACGTGGGGAGGATTGGAGGACACCATGCATGCCGTCACTGGTTCCCAAAGTGGAGGGCTCCGAGCCAGCAGCTTCAACATCACCTGGGAACTTACTAGAAATGCACATTCCTGGGCCAGGCACCGTGGCTCATGCCTGTAATACCAGCACTTTGGGAGGCCGAGGTTAGCGGATCACAGGGTCAAGAGATTGAGACCATCCTGGCCAACATGGTGAAACCCTGTCTCTATAAAAACACAAAAAAATTAGCTGGGCGTAGTGGCATGCACCTGTGGTCTCAGCTACGCAGGAGGCTGAGGCAGGAGAATCGCTTGAACATGGAATGCAGAGGCTGCAGTGAGCAGAGATAGCACCACTGCACTCCAGCCTGGCAACAGAGTGAGACTCAGGAGAAAGAGAGAGAGAGAGAGGAAAGGAAGAACGAGGAAGAGAAGGAAAGGGGAGGGGAGGAAAGGGGAAGAGGGGGAGGGGAAAGGGGAAAGAGGGGAAAGGAAAGGAAAGAGGAAAGGAAGGAAAGGAAAAAAGGAAAGGGAAGGGAGGGGAGGAGAGGCACATTCGCAGGCCCACCACAAACCTCCAAAGTCAGAGTCTCTGGGTCAGGGCCCAGGAGTCTGTGTTGTAATTACCTCCTGGTGACTCTGATGCACGCCAAAATCTGAGACCCACTGGTTGCTGACAATGCTTCAAAACACCTTGCAGCCTCTTCAGATTTGCTCAACCACTGTGAGATCACTTTAAGCAACAGACCATTAAGTAAGGGCCCTGACGCCCAGGGGCTGAAATCCACAGCTATGTATGTATGGCATGAAAACTTCCTCATACAGTCGCTCTTATTTTTCTCGTCTAAATAGCAAAGGACAGGCTCATGTAACAGGAAACCATTCTAAGCAAATGTAATGGTTATTTGGAGGATAAAGAGTCAGGGAACTAAATACCCAATTTGGCTTAGAATTTCTAGAAGACACGGTGGTCTTAGGTTGATTGGACTCACTGATTAATGCAAAAGTGGAGAAAAAAAATGTTGATCTCTGGGTCTCTCCATCTTTATTTTTATTTTCAAACATTCAAGGCATAATATTTTACCTTTGATAGGTCTTTGTTTTTTCTTTCTGAGATAGGGTCTGGCCCTGTCGCCCAGGCTGGAGTGCAGTGGTGCAATCTCAGCTCACTGCAACCTCTGCCTCCTGAGTTCAAGTGATCTTCCTGGCTCAGCCTCCCGGGTAGCTGGGACTACAGGTGCACACCACCATACCCGGCTAATTTTTGGGTTTTTTGTAAAGACGAGTTTTTGCCATGTTGCCCAGGTTGGTCTTGAACTCCCAGGGGTAAGCAATCTTCCTGCCTCACCCTCCCAAAGTGCTGGGATTATAGGCATGAGCCGCCATGCCCCGCTTGGATTATACCAAGCCGCCATTTGATGGTATTAAATACAAAAATGTAAACATTTTTATGGCAACAGAACATGGAAAACCCCCATTTTGAGACCACAGTTAAATGTGCCTGAGAAGAAAAGCTAACATCATTTTGATGTCCTGATCACAGAGTGCCTCGTTTTGGGTGAGGAGCCTAAAGTTTCCGTTCCTGACACCCTACCAGGTGTGTCTGGCCTAAATCCTGTGATCCAGCCTTAAAAAGCCTGACTCTGAGGGCCAGCCTAGCACAGACGAATACAATGTTGAATTCTGATGACGTGGGCTCCACTCCAATCAGAGAGTTAGAAGCACGTCGCATGTCCCTGCAATCCACCGGACCCTGCTGCTCCCTCACCTAGGTCAAAGCAGTCCAAGCATGTAGCCGTGGCAAATTTAAGCCCCGACCCTTTCTTTCCTCTCCTGGCTTCACTGAAAAGAATGAGGAAACAAGGAATGAATTTAGGAAGAGGTAAGTACTCATGATCTCATTTCATTTCTTCCTCAGATCCCATTATATGCCCCTGTTTTACACACATGGAAACTGAGGCGCCCGGGCCTCTTTACTCCACATGTTCTGAAGGTAATCGGGTGACCAGGCCTTTTTGTGTGAGACAGTGATATTCTATTTGCCTTGCTGTATAGGCAGGCAGGTAGAAATGAAGGCAATGCTCTTGATTTTTCACTGAAGCACAATGCAGTGTCACTGAAATCCGGCCTCTCACTACCTAGGCTGGGTTAATCTGTTTCTGGCTCACAAACATTGTGCTGCGTGAATTAGCTTGTGTTGAATGCTCACCAGCCTCCCTTCAATTTCTATGTAAAACATTTACCTTCCCGGTGATGGCATGAAGCTTCTACGGGTCATGTGTGTAAGTGTGACACTGACAATAGACACTGTGACTGTGGAATTGTTCCTTAGAGAATTGCTGAAGTGAAACACCAAGGCTTGTTCTACCCTAGTCTTTGATCAGCACAAAAACACACTGGCTAATTGTACCCACAAAATAAAGCGGCATTTTTAGAGACTTTGCCTGACCTTGGCACGCTGCTGGTAAACAAAGGCAGGATTGTCAAGGGCAGAGATCCAACCTCCACACTGACATTTGGAAGCGGCCGGGCGTTCACTAGAAGCCAGCACTGTAGCCTTTGTTTCCACCTGCACACTCCGCTAAGTCACCTCGCCTGGGTGGTCCTAGCTTCATTCAAATACCTACTTTTTCCTCTGCTCGGGGCTGCTGACCCGGGGAGATGCGCCGGACAGTGGGTCCGTGTTCTGGGGCTTTGTTCTCTGCTCTCCACCTCGCTCAATGGCAGACTCCCGTAAGTGGCCAGAGCGTCCCCGTGTTCCCGCGATGTCCTGCCGGCTGACCCCCACTCCCTGGCTGCCACGCAGACTGTTCCAGCCAGAGGGAGGGCAAGACCCAGCAAGGTGATGAACCTGCAGGAAGAAGACACGACACCCACGCCTTCCTTCATCTCAGGACACCGAAACCGGATGCCGAGAAAACCGGCCTGTGAAAAGCCCCGTGCTGCATATTTACATAGAAAAACATTTCACAATATTAAGGGTGGAGAATGATGCTCTAAGAATAAAACTAATGAAAAAGAAAACATATAAAGAAAATATCTATGGATTTCACTTGTCATCATTATTTTTTAAATCATAAAGCAACCAAAATATGAGGAAGATATTTGCAGCTGATATGGCTAAGAATTAATATTCTTTATACACAGAATAAAGTTTAAAAATTAATAAGAACCTGGCTGTGCGCAGTGGGTCACGCCTGTAACCCCAGCACTTTGGGAGGCCGAAGCAGGCAGATCACCTGAGGTCAGGAGTTTGAGACAAGCCTGGCCTACATAGTAAAACCCCAACTCTACTGAAAATACAAAATTTAGAGAGCTTGCTAGACGCCATCAAGAGCTAGGTGGAGGCAGAGGAGCGGGTGGCCAGGCTGTGAGGCGAGGGAGAGGAAGGCCGTGGAGGTGTCGTGGATAGGCAGGAGGATCGTGGAGCTGCACCAGCAGACTACCGGGTTCTGCTGAGCCGGGGCTGGAGCGGAGCGTGGCGGGGAGTGTCCCGCGTGGAAGTCGCTGGGCAGCCAGGGAGGGGAGCACAGAGCCGTGCCACGCTCTCCGCCAAGTTGGTTTCAATGTTTTTCATAAGTTAGGAACTGATGAACTGTGTTGACCTGATAAGGAGTTGTGGCTGCTTGGACAGGCTGATACAAGAGAGCCTTTCATTCAGTCTCCCCTGTTTTCTCCACATTAGCCACTAAACTTCCAGTACCATCCTGGTGGACGACTTCAGCATTAGATGGTCATGTGTATTTTTTGATTAATAAGTACATTCAGTTTGGAAGAGAGAGATTTTCATTCATGACCCACGTAAAGGAATAGGGCCTGTACACTATGTACGCTGCCGTGTGGTCATATTTGTTCCAGTGATTTTATTGTATTTTCAAAATTCGGAAGTACACCCTTGTGCTTTGCTATTTTTTTATGCTTCTTGGAATTTGGGGACTCATGAGAGACTGGAAGTTAGCTCTACAAGTGAGAAGATACTATGCGGTTGCAGCTGCCAAAATCAAGAACCCAAGCCCCAGTCAAGGTTGAGAATGTGACTTTGGATGAGATTGAGAAGGCCCCAGAGGATGGCTGGTCTGAAAGAGTGGCCGTGTGTGGATTTGAGGACCTCTGCAGACCATCAGACCAAAGGAGGAGCGCTGTTCTGGGGTTTTGTTTTGTTTTGTTTTTATAGCATTTTGTTTTCTCCTGGAATGTAATTTTCCTATGGCATGTTACCTGGTGCACATCATGTAACCTGTCTGGTGAGCAATCCACAGTTGGGATGAGTTCTAGGTATGTGTATTTGCCAACTTTGGGGTAAACTTCGTTATGATAGAGTCTCTGCCACAAATGCATGTGACCTTTTCAAGGGCCCAGGGTGGCTGAGGAAAGAAAGCTTCAAGCTGGCCATGAGGGTCCCAAACAGTCATTCCAGGCTTAGATGATGACTAGCCTAGGTCATCAGAGCCCAGACTCCACAGGGACTAAAATCAGAGCTCTGCCTTGTGATGATAAAGTTCATTTGCTTGGAAAAACACATGCTGAAAGCCAGTTTTTAGAATCTTTGTGCAGATGACCAAAGCCATTGGCCAGGAAAAAGTAAGGAATAAACATTTTTCAAAATGAAAAAAAAAAAAAAATACAAAATTGAGCTGGGCATGGTGTTATGTGTCTATAGTCCCAGCTACTCAGGAGGCTGAGGCAGGAAAATCTCTTGAGCCCAGATAGCAGAGGTTGCAATGAGCTGAAATCGCCCCATTACACTGCAGCCTGGGTGATGGAGGGAGACTGTCTCAGAAAAGAGAAGAAGAAGAACCGCCTAACTAACACACACATGGAAAAGGGAGTGAAGAATATGAACTCACGAGAGAAAAATACAAGTGGCAGATACACTTAGGAAAGGAAAACCCTCTTTGCCCATTTTTTGAAGATGTAAATTAAACCAGTGTATTCACCTATCAAACTGGTTCCAGTTTTTATAAAGGTAGCAGCTTTTGATGCTGGTGAGAGGGTAAAGAAGCTCATGAGAGTTTCCTACTGGGGGCAGGAAAGATGAACTTTTCAGGAAAACAGCATCAGATGATTTCAGAGTGGTGGCCCGGTACTTGTACTTCTATGTAATTTACTCTAAGGAACAAACAGGAAGTACCGGAGGAGCTGCTGCAACGTCTGTAGGTAAGGCAAGGTCTCAGATACAAGATTCATCTTCAGCGGTCCCCTGACAGCAAGGAACAGGCGTATCTTGGGATAGAACACATTTCTCAGTGGTCCTCAAACCAATCACACTGGGCATGGCCGACCTTCCCCTTGAACACGTTCCCATTTTCTTGTTTAAGGTAAATGGTGGGCTCGCATGGTGGCTCACACCTGTAATCCCAATACTTTAGGAGGCTTTGGTGGGTGGATCATCTGAGGTCAGGAGGTTGAGACCAGCCTGGCCAACATGCTGAAATGCCATCTCTACTAAAAATACAAAATTAGCTGGGTGTGGTGGTGCATGCCTGTAGTCCCAGCTACTCGGGAGGCTGAGACAGGAGAATCGCTTGAACCTGTGAGGTGGAGGTTGCAGTGAGCCAAAATTGCGTCACTGCACTCCAGCCTGGGTGACAGAGCAAGACTTCATCTCAAAAAAAAAAAGGGTAAATGGTAATCTCCCTGTGTCTCAGTAGTCTGGCTGCTATAACAAAATACCATAGGCTAGGTGGCTTATACATCCCAGAAATTAATTTCTCATCGTTCTGGAGGCTGGGAAGCCCAGGATCAAGTGCTGGAAGATTCGGTGTCTGGTGAGAGCCCACTTTCTGGTTCATAGATGGCACCTTCTAGCTGTGTCCTCACGTGGTGGAAGGGGCGAGGGGGCTCTCTGGGGTCCCTCGCCTAAGCTACCTGACCCCATTCATGAAGGCTCTGCCTTCATGACAGGCACCTCCCAAACACCCCATCTCTGGATGTCATCACATGCGGGTGAGATTCCAATGTATGAATTTTGCAGGGGAAGCAAAAACACTCAGACCATAATATCATGAAATAGGCAGCACTGCCCAGACACTGTGCAATGAACAAAATTACGCAATGAATGAAATGTGATGGTGAAATGCAGTTGATGAGGGGAAATTGATAAAACAGTACCGGCAGATCACATCCCACCCAGGTACCTCGCTGTCCATACTCACAGACACACAGCCGCAAACGTGTCCAGGGGGAACATTCCAGCAGCACATCTGGCCACACTCCCACCAGACGAGGAGGAAGAATTTATTGTAAAAAGAGAGAGGGAAGGGGCCAAAAATGAAGCATTTCTGAATCTTAAAGTATCTACCAAAAGAGAAAAAGAGATGGTATAAATCATTTAGTTTGTCATAATGCCTTATGTTTTTCAAAGTGCTTCCATATCTGTTATTTCAAAATGAAACTTTTACACTAAAAAGAGACGACAGCTGGTGCCAGGCACAGTGGCTCATGCCTGCAATCCTACACTTCGAGAGGCCTGTAATCCTAGACTTTGGGAGGCCGATACAGGGGGATCACTAGAGGTCAGGAGTTGGAAACCAGCCTGGCCAACATGGTGAAACCCTGTCTCTATTAAAAATACAAAAATTAGCTGTACATGGTGGCACATGCCTGTAGTCCCAGCTACTCGGGAGGCTGAGGCACAAGAATCACTTGAGCCCAGGAGGCAGAGGTGGCAGTGAGCTGAGATCACACCACTGCACTCCAGTCTGGCCACAGAGCGAGACTGTCTCCAAAAAATAAAATAAAATAAAGGGGGACAGTTGGTTTTGAATATATCTGCTTTACAGTTGGAGGGAAACAGGGCACAAAAATGTGGAAACTCACAGAATGAGGAACTCTTAGCCCAGCTGGAGGTAAACCGGGGTCTCCTGAATCCGTCTGTTCTCCCAGCCTTTCTTAGCACATGGCACTGGGAACAAAAAGCCTAAACACGCACCATTGCTGGCTCAAATCTATTTGTGAACATGCCCCCCCACCCACCCCAAGGGAGAAATGCAATATAAGATGGAAATGTACAATTGAAGCCCATAGTCTGGGGAAACACACCATCTGAAACTGAAAGTAAGAAGCAGCAAGTCAGGACACAGCCGATGAGCACTGGAAGAAATTGTGTGTGAAGATGTTACTGATAAGACAGCGCCGCCGTCTTCAATTCTACAAGCCTCAGAACTACCTGGAAGGCCTGTTGGCTCTCTGCCTCCCTCCCTGCAAGCTTCTAATCCAGGAGGTTTGAGATGGAACCTGACTTTGCACTTCTGACAAGTTTACAGGTGCTCCTGCTGTGAATCCCAGGACAGGGTTCGAATTTAGACCAGGGGGCTTCCCAGATCTCCACAAACGACGGGGACACAGTTTTCCTTGTTTGTTAAATGGGGATGGCAATAGTACCTAGCTCCTAGGGCTGTCATGAGAACTCTGATGCAATTACTGTAAAGCCCTTAGGACAGTGCAAGGCAGGCAGTAAGTTTAATAAATGTTGGGTGTTCCTCATCTTACATACCACATTGCCTAGTCTTGCACTCAGGAGCTAGTTTGAGCTAGCTTGCTGTGTGACCCTGAGCAAGTCACTGCACCTCTCTGGGTCTCATTTCCTCATCTGTGTAACAGTGAAAGGTGGTTCAGACATGAGGTATTCTTTTATTATTATTATTATTATTATTATACTTTAAGTTCTGGGTTACATGTGTAGAACATGCAGGTTTGTTACATAGGTATACATCTGCCATGCTGGTTTGCTGTACCCATCAACCCATCATCTAGGTTTGAAGCCCCACATATATTAGGTATTTGTCCTAATGCTCTCCCTCCCCTTTCCCCTCACCCCCAACAGACCCCAGTGTGTGATGTTCCCTCCCTGTGTCCATGTGTTCTCATTGTTCAACTCCTGCTTATGAGTCAGAACATGTGGTGTCTGGTTTTCTGTTCCCGTGTTAGTTTGCTGAGAACAATGGTTTCCAGCTTCATCCATGTCCCTGCAAAGGACATGAACTCATGCTTTTTTATGGCTGCATAGTATTCTATGGTGTATATGTGCCACATTTTCTTTATCCAGTCTATCATTGATGGGCATTTGGGTTGGTTCCAAGTCTCTGCTATTGTGAATAGTGCTGCAATAAACATACAGGACCAATGGATTCTAATACCTTTTCCATCTCTAACAGTCAAGGTTCCTATGAGTCTGTGACCCGAGGTTTCTGAAATATCCAAAAATGCTGCTGAAAGATTAATAGTATATAATTAATTCTGATTCTTAATGGTAGCATGGTAAGGGTAGAAACAAGAAGGAAGGGTCATCTGTGTGTCCTCAGCCCCGGCCAAGAGTAGGGGTGCTTGATCTAGGTTACGGCGGGTCCCCACAGGAGAGCTGGCAGCAGAATTTTTCATAATCCAACTCCATTTGCTCTGAACTAGTGCTCCCCAGAGTTAGTATTTGGGTTTCCAAAATAAACTCTTCCACTGAAAACGAAATGTACTGGCCACCCAGAGCACATCTGTTCCCTTCGGAAGCTTCATTTCTAATGTTAAAGGAATTGGGTGGCGTTTTTGTTTGGGTTTGGCTTGGCTGCTTTGGTTGGTTTTTTTTTTTTGTCAATCACCACAGGCCAGCTCTAAATCCTGCCATAGCAAACAAAGCCAAGAGGACGTTCAATCGGCCTTGAGTAATCAGCCTTAGGTGTCTATGCTATGCTAGATTCCTGATCTACACGCAGAATATGAAACCTTTACTGGAAACCTCTGTTGAATCTGTTTTCCAGCAACTTCTCACCCCACCCTACCCTGACCTCTTCACTCTTTAGACAGGTCAGCTCAAGCGCTGTCTAAATTCCCCACTCTTCCTCTAGACATGCTGGGCTCTGCTCCTCTGACTTGTACGCCGAGCCCCAGCACTTGATGTGAGAGCGACATTTCTTTCCCAGCAGTGTTTCCTAATAGCTCAGGCGTACACACTTTTCTTCCTAACTAAATTGTACATTTTTTGAAACGAGTAACTCCCAATCATCTTGATCTCCCCAGCACATACAGGTGAAGTCTCATACAAAGGCCAGAGAGAAAACTGCTCAATAAATATTTCCTGAATTGAGAACACAAAATGGTATTCTGTAAAATGTTTTGGATTCCTTTTGAATTCTTAGCTAGAAAGGCAATTCTGTGGGTAATTCAAGGACTTACTATTAAAAGAGTTCCATTTTCCCCGCTGGTGCTCAGGAAATCTGTAAGAGAGAGCTGGAGGAGAAAAATCTTCCCCTGCGGCTCCAGCACCAGTGTTCTGCTCTGTGGGGCTAGTGATTCTTAGAGGCAGAGCTAGGTGAAATTAGCCTCATAGGCCATAGGAAAGAGCATAGTTTAAAGCTCATCGTAAAGAACTGTTCAATGTTGATTCTAAGCAGCTCAGAACTCCTTGCTTTTAGCCACTGCAAACTGGGACAGTGTGATCATCATAAAATGCTATCAAGTCTCCAGTGAGACAGACATAGAGTGAGTCCCCAAGAATGGAAATATGCAGCCCTCCAGTGTTTAAAGGAGCACTCTTAATAATGTATAGTCTGGATAAAATCAGACACAATTCAGTGTTAAACAGACCTTTTAAAACAAACCCCAGGCTGGGTGCCTGTAATCCCAGCACTTTGGGAGGTCGAGGCAGAATGGTTGCTTGACTCCAGGAGTTTGAGACCAGCCTGGTTAACCTAAGGGGACCCCATCTCTTCAAAACATTTAAAAATGGTGGTGCATGCCTGATTTCAGCTATTTGAGAGGCTGAGGTGGAAGGATTGCCTGGACCAAGGAGATCGAAGCTGTAATAAGCCATGATTGCACCACCGCACTCCAGCCTGGGCAACAGAGCAAGACCCTGTCTCAAAAAAAACAAAAGCAAAAACAAAAACACCCAAGCCCCTTCTTTTTCAGCTCTTGTGTGGTCCCTGCAACCAGAAAGATCACCTCTGCCTCACAATTCAACTTCAGCAGGATTATCTAACATTTGTCAAGCACGGTCTAAGAGCAGGGCTCTGAGCTAAGGGGCTGTGAGTCCCCGTCAGCCCAACTCCCTGTCGTATTAAAGGAAACTCAGATAAACTAGCCAGACTAGGAAGTAGGTATTAGGTAGTCTTTTGGGTTGAACTGTGTCCCCCAAAAAGGTTCAAGTTCTAAGCCCCAGTACCTGCAAATGTGACCTTATTTGGAAATAGAGTCTTTGTAGATGTAATCCAACTTTAAGATGAGGTTAGGGTGGGCCTGAAATCCAGTATGACTGGTGTCCTTACGAGAGGGAAGTTTGGACACACAGGGGAGAATTCCACATGTGGGCGGAGGTAGAGGTTGGAATGATGTGGCTACAAGCCAAGGAGTGCCAGGAAGGGCCAGCAACCACCAGGTGCGCGGAGAGGGGCGAGGAACCAGCTCTCCCTCAGAGCCTCCAAAAGGAACCAACCTCATCAACGCTGTGACTTAGGATGTAGCCTCGAGAACTGAGAGAATGAATGTCTGTCATTCTAAGCCACCCAGTTTGTGGTCACTTGTTACAGCAGCACTAGGAAAGGACGATTAGTGACACTAAAATGCATGGGTCTGGATATTTAGAAAAATATCCCATAAATTGGGTTTCGTAATCACCACATCCAAGTTTGATCCAGGCTCCCAACATTCTGATGTTACATATTTTTATTCTTAGGAACTCACGTGAAGTCTGTTGGGTGAAATTTTATAACATTCCGTGACAACAACTGTGCAGTGTTTTGCCCTAGCCTTTGGCCAAAAGCAGTTTTGTCCTGCCCTTCCAGGATCTTGCTTTCCCACTGCAGAACTGGGGCATGTTCTCTTGGTCTATCTACAGCTGGCCCTCCCTGCTTTCCTCCTCTGGGTGAGTGCAGTCCGTGCAAACAGCTTCCACCTGGTACTGCTCACATCTGTAGAGGAATATTGGCAACTCCATCAAAGAGCTTTAAGGAATAGCTGACAAATCCTTTCCAGATGGAGACCTTTTACCCTGGGCAAAGACCTCCAATTTCTATCTGCTGCCTCTGTGCCAGAGCTGGAAAAATGCCTGGGCAGCAAAGACTAAATTCCCCTAATCCATCCACCCATGTCGGCTCAGCTCACAACAACCAGACCATTTTCTTTTTCTGATTCCTCAAAAAGAATCTCCATCTTTTTTTCTCTTTGAATGCTACTTTTTTAAAAAAATCTTTTTATCAATGGCATTTATTTCTAATATTTTATTTTATTCTAATGTCAACTCTGGCTAGAAAGTTTAGCATTAGTCTGAAAAATTAGGCTAATTGACAAATCTCTTAAATAATAAGGACTATTAACTCAGCGGACTTACAGAGTCACTCATTTGAAAGGCTAATTTAATAATAACTACACATTTATCTTTGTTTCTAGGATATTTATGGCTTATCCAACAAGAATTGAAATTTGAATTTGACTTGTAACAATTTATTGCTTTTTTAAACAGCACATGAAATACCTGGCTAGATATATACCCAAAGCTATAGGAATCGTCACAAATGCAGAGGACCCTTTAAGGGTTTGCCAACCAGCTGCAATATCAAGACTTTAAAGGAGAACTCTTAATAATGTATAA